GAAGAGCTTGTTTCTTGCTCAGGTGTAACAGTTGAGTTACATCAAGTGCCCCACAGCTTCAGGCAGGGCTGCTTGTGGACAGTACAAACTGTTGCAAATAAACTTTTTATGTGGCTTATCAAAGACTAGGGAAGGTGAGCTGACTGCAGAGCTGAAGTGTCTTCCCAGGGAAAGGTACTAGCTACTAACAGGTTCATCAGCCTGGCAAAGGCACAGCGGGAGATGAAGACTGACTGGTGAATGCAGAGGATGCGAACTGGGAACATGGCCTTAAACAGGAGGAAAAATCATCCTCAGGAGGCAGCCACCCTGTCTCTTGAAGAGCCTGCCTTTTGGGAGGCACAGACCAGCCACACAGAAGCTGCTGGGCTGGACAGACCAGTGAGGGGGCTCAGGGCTGCCCATCCCACCTGCAGCCTTCTCCTTGGTGCCTGTGCCTCTTCCCCCAGTGCTTGGCATGAGGCTTTCTTAGTTTCGGGTTTGTGTGGGGAATGTGTCATCTCTCTCAAGGGCTGGAAAAGCCACAATCCTAGAGGAGATCCATGGTCAGTGAAAAGTGACTATCTGGGGACCTTATAGCCTACAGCCAAGCTGCAAGTGCAGTCAGAAACCCATACAGGGTACCTAGAAGGATTCACTGCAGTGGGAGAGACAGCCCACCTGCCAGAGATCTCTGCTGCAGAGCCTGGCAGACAGCAGGTCTGCCCTTTCTGCTCACCAGCCTTCAATGCTGCCGACACAAGGCTGCAGCTGCCAGGGCCCTCTGTTCCTGCACCCCAACACTACATGTTCAGCCCCACTGGACATGTCCCGGGACAGCAGAAGACAGCCCAGCATCCCAAGCAAATCTTAGCACAGAGCCCCTCACCACCTCCTGGCCCTTCTAGCTTTCCCAGGGCAGCCCTGTTCACTCCCCCTTCCCCGCCTGCCACAGAAGGTGTCAGAGGCATCAAGGGGCAGGAGCTGTCAGAGGCACAAGCGGAGCTGTTGCTACGCAACCCCGGTGGTGCAGCAATTAATGCTGGGGAAAACGTGCTGTGCTCTGAAGCTATTTGCATAGCTGCATGCTGCAATACATTTGTTTGCATTGTGCCTCTACTGTTTAGTGGAGTTTGAAGTCAACCCTCCCCCAGCTCTTGCTGGAGGGGACCAAGGGCTTCCAACAAAGGCCACGCAGTTGGGGGTGATGGGGCTGAGGGAAGGCAGAGGTTTGTCTGTCTATAACACCTACAGACTGCACTGATATAGGATTTACAGTGCAGGGAGGAAAGGCCAAGTTATCACTATTTCCCCCTACGCAGCCTGAGGAGCTTTGCCCAGCTCCTGCAGTGCCCCAACCCACTGGTGGAGTTGTCATATCTCCCCTTTCCAGTTGTACCAGGGTGACACTGTGCTTGCTCTGCTTGTGAATGCCAGAAACAGAGCTTTAGGGGCAGCCCAGCCTGCCTCTGGCTCAAGAGTGCATTTGCAGGGGGAAGAAGGAGGGGAAGAAAGAGGGAGAAAGAAATCAGCTGGTTCGTACCAACCTACCTGGGAAGTCGGTCTCCGAAAACCTGCCGATTGCCAACTGCAATCTTCTGGTTTGCCCACCCCAAGTTTCTTACTATTGAACATGAAGCCTGTACCAACTGGGGGTTTCTTTTTTTAGCCCTTGAACATTGGTTTGATTGATTATAAGTTTACAGGTATGTTTTGTACCTCAGAGGCACAAGAAGCAGCAGCAGAACAAAAGTTCAAGGCTAAGTGTTTCTGTTCCTTTCAGACCACTCTAAGCACCAGGATTATAGTTCTGTAAAAGAAACAAAACATAGCTATAAACTTATAAAATCCAATTCAGTATTTTTATGGGGTTGACCTCTCCCCTCCCTCTCCTGCTGCCACACAGCTGACTCTGCAGCAG